GTCTAATAATAATCAAAGATGTCAGGCAGATCTTTGTAGAAGTCGTTTTTCCAGATTTTAGTCACAAACCCAAAACTGATGGATACAGTAAATGACATTAGTGTCAGCTTTCAAATTGTCACTTTAATTTACAAAATTCAAGCAATAAATGTTGATTTGACACTCTTTAAGGTGGTGTTACAAACGACCAGGCTCAAGGCAGCGCAACATTAAATGGGGAGGCCATGCACAAAGAGGTTAACTCAAAATAAGCATTAACGTAATTTAAACTATTATAAACCCCAAAAGGGAAAAAGAAAACACAAGATCAAATAATAAAGAAAGCTCAAAGTCTGGTGCTGGATAGAAGTCAAGCTCCAACGAGGCCACCACACCGGAGGACAGATCCTTTTATCAGTCAACTCATACGTAATCCACCACACCTGCCACTTGTCTCCACCCTGCAAACAGAGAAAAGAACACAAACCAGAACGCCACCTAGGAGGCGAACAGATCCCGTCTAGGGAACGGGTGCTACCGAGTCGTAACACCTCCCTCCTCAAGACAGGGACTAAGTCTCTGATCCAAAAATTAAAAAAAAAAAAATCCAAATCCAATTTTTAAAGAGAAAACGAGAAAGGAATACCTGACTGAGAGGAAAAGAAAGAAAACAATCAGGTAGATGACTCATTTACCTAATCTCAAAATGAACGAGACAACGCATCAGCCATAACATTATGAACTCCCCAAATATGTCGGATTTCCAAACCATACGGCTGCAGAAACACCCAATGAATAAGACGCTGATTCAGAGAACACAAGGAACGCAAAAACATGAGGGGATTATGATCGGAAAACACCACAACTGGCACTGAACCGCCACCCACATACACATCAAAATGCTGTAGGGCCCATATTAACGAAAGCGCTTCTTTCTCAATGGTCGAATAATTAGTTTGGTGACAATTAAAGTTCTTCGTGAAAAAAAAAAAAAAAAAAAAAAAAAAAAAAAAAAAAAAAAAACACACCTACCAGTTCTACAAACCCCAGTGTCATCTTTTTGCAAAAGCGTCCGTAACTCAGCACTTTGGTCGCACGTCAAATGACCAAACAAAGTTTCCAGTTTAATAAGCACCTCAGAATTACATAACCTAGGCTGAATTACACTACTCTCCAATACATCCTCTTCATCAGCACTAATGGCTTCGACAGGTGAAACTAAAAGCGAACTTTCAGTTACCGACAGCGCTGCAGCTTTCACATCAGAACAAGAAACAGTTTCAACCACCGGCGCACGACTATAATATGTCTTGAGCAAATTTATGACACAACTGAGTTGTTTTCTTGCGATTCGGCGTAGAAATAACAATTTAGGTTTTTTTTTAGGGAACAAATTCGTAGGTGACACGGGTTTCACTGGTTCATCAAAAAGTGTTGCTAAAGGTCCCGTCACCGCGTGTCCAAAAACTAAATCATTAGGACTCTCTAGCGACCAACATGAGCCAAGGGAGACCTTCTTCCCAGTCCTTATGAAGTTCGATGCAACAACTGTTTTAGGGACTGGTGAAACCGTTCCAAGGCTCCCTGACTCTGTGGATGATACACACTGCTTCGACAAGGTTCAACGCGCAACTGTTGCAAAACTTCCGCAAACATATGGGACGAAAAATATGTCTGAATTATTTTCGGGATACCAAAAAAAAAAAAAAAAAAAAAAAAAAAAAAAAAAAAAACACACCTCACAGGTCTATCAACCCCAGTGTCATCTTTTTGCAAAAGCGTCCGTAACTCAGCACTTTGGTCGCACGTCAAATGACCAAACAAAGTTTCCAGTTTAATAAGCACCTCAGAATTACATAACCTAGGCTGAATTACACTACTCTCCAATACATCCTCTTCATCAGCACTAATGGCTTCGACAGGTGAAACTAAAAGCGAACTTTCAGTTACCGACAGCGCTGCAGCTTTCACATCAGAACAAGAAACAGTTTCAACCACCGGCGCACGACTATAATATGTCTTGAGCAAATTTATGACACAACTGAGTTGTTTTCTTGCGATTCGGCGTAGAAATAACAATTTAGGTTTTTTTTTAGGGAACAAATTCGTAGGTGACACGGGTTTCACTGGTTCATCAAAAAGTGTTGCTAAAGGTCCCGTCACCGCGTGTCCAAAAACTAAATCATTAGGACTCTCTAGCGACCAACATGAGCCAAGGGAGACCTTCTTCCCAGTCCTTATGAAGTTCGATGCAACAACTGTTTTAGGGACTGGTGAAACCGTTCCAAGGCTCCCTGACTCTGTGGATGATACACACTGCTTCGACAAGGTTCAACGCGCAACTGTTGCAAAACTTCCGCAAACATATGGGACGAAAAATATGTCTGAATTATTTTCGGGATACCAAAAAAAAAAAAAAAAAAAAAAAAAAAAGCATCAAAGCCTTCACAATATACTTTGTATTAATGGACCGCAACGGATACGCAGCTGGATATCGCGTAGTCTGACACATCACCGTCAACATATACGTCACACCTGATTTAGAAGGATTCAGTGGCCCCACACAATCGATAACGATGTGTTCAAAAGGATTACTCACTGCAGGAATGGGATATAAAGGAGCAGGCGGAATAACCTGATTAGGTTTGCCGGTTACTTGACAAATATGGCAGGTCAGACTAAACTTGGATACATCTTTAAGACGCGGCCAAAAACAGTGACGCAACACTGTCATACGTCTTTCGGACTCCAAAATATCACCATGAGCAGTCTGTAGTACTACAATCACGCAAACCGACAGGTATTACAATTTGAAACAAAGGTTCACCCACCGCTTTATCACTACATGAGGTCCATTTACGAACCAACATCCCATCCTGTATAAAGTAACCACTAGCAAAACTCTGGATTTCTTCTGCGCTCTTCGCATTAGCAAATACATCTGCTAGAATAGAGTCCTGTTGTTGAGCCGAAATTAATTCCTTAACCGAAATAGATGAAGGGAGGGCAGGCAAAACAACCCGAATGGTCGAAGGTTTTTCACGCACAACATCAGAACTCTGAGGCAAGAGCCTTTGCATGCGTCACAGCGCAAGCTGAAAACACATTAGGAAAATCCAAAGCATTTTTATCATCCTTTATGGCAAATGAGGGGGTCACCCTGACCACAGGAGGTGGTGGAACATCATGCCAAACTTGTCCCCCAGCCAAATTATTACCCAAGATGACATCCACTCCTTCCACCGGCAAACAAAGGACACAAGGCCATCACAACCTTATCTTGCACAAGATCTGAATACAGCTGGAGTTTGTGCAAGGGTGTAGAGAGAGTCTGTAACCCAATTCCTTGAATCAAGACATTACTACCCACGCCTGATTCAGAAGAAAAGGGTAATGTAGACTCTAATATAAATGATTCCAATGAACCTGTGTCCCGCAACCTCTTAACAGGCACTTTAATAGAATCATTCCCCAAGGAAACGAAACCGCTTGTGATGAAAGGACCATAGTCAGACGCCGTTACCCCAACACAAGTCTGAATTTCACCTTGTTCATGTTTCACCAGTGTCGCAGATTTACTAATGTGTCGGTAGATGTATCAGAATAATGACGAAACGTTCCAGAGGCTAAAGCTACAGGCTTGGGAATAGATTTATTATTCTTGCCTCGTAGTACCGGACACTCCCTCTTCCAATGTCCATTTTCAAGGCAATAATTACACATGGAACTCAGGTCTACTTTTCGAACTGACTATTCAAACCTGGCCGATCATTTGGTAAATTTTCAGAACCAACACCTGGCATTTTCCCCTCAGCCATCAATCTAAAACATTCCGTTTCCTGCGCTAATTTCAACTCCTCTAATTTATGTTGAGCCCTAAACTTTTCAAAGTCTCGCTCTTTACTTTTTCCCCCATTCCAATTGTATATCTAATGCACGTTCCTTACTTCCAATTTCTAACAATTCTTTTTGCTGCTCAAATGTTAAGTTACCATTTCCCAAATCACTTCTTACCTCTGTCATAAGCGGAGTTGAAGCTCCTTTTGGTACCCCTTCCTCCACATCAGATTGTGTATCCAAAGTCAAAACCATCCTTTCCACTAATTTTTCTTTAACAGCTTTACGAAGTGGTCTTAACTTAGCTGATTTAAGTAAAGCCAATTCAATACCAAACTGCTCACTCGCATTATGCGACTGATCTTTTGTGAGACCCTCTAGTTTTCCCTCTGTAGGAGCAGCTAAAAAAATCCTCCAAATTATCCATTATAATTTTTATGGAAAACAGGAACTAATATAAAATCGAGCCACCATACCCTCCTGATCTTAGGTTTGATTAACGGGAAACTGGCAGAGGTTGCAAATCATGAAGAATAAATTCAGAATGAGTTAAGAGCTACCCCGTAAAATTAAACTAACTCAACCCTAATCTCTTCGGTGCGCCCACATGCAGCTCAACTGCCACCACAAGCAGTCTACCCGCGTCCGACACACCCAAAAAAAAAAAAAAAAACAAACAGCGTTAATCGCTCTATACCTAACACGGGGCTGACACAAAGCTCTAGCGGTCTAAACCGCAACATCCTCATTTCTTTCTATTAAACAAATGCAACACAATGCCATACTTACCCGAATCAAACAACCACAACCGCGAGCTCTACAATTCTATATTTGCTTACTTGATGCCAACTCTCCAACACCAGAACATTTTTTACTCCAACTTAAAACATTACCCTTACCAAAAATAATATAAATTTGCACAGCTCTCCCCAACTTTGGAATTTATCCAATCAATAATGATCCAAAATACTGGTCATTCCTTCCAGTTTCCCACGGACGAGCTCCCAAATGTTACAAACTACCAGGCTCAAGGCAGCGCAACATTAAATGGGGAGGCCACGCACAAAGAAGTTAACTCAAAATAAACATTTATTAACGTATTTTTAAACTATAATAAACCCCAAAAGGGAAAAGAAAACAAGACAAGATCAAATAATAAAGAAAGCTCAAAATCTGGTGCTGGAGAGAAGTCAAGCTCCAACGAGGCCACCACACCGGAGGACAGATCCTTTTATCAGTCAACTCATCATACGTAATCCACCACACCTGCTGCTTGTCTCCACCCTGCAAACAGAGAAAAGAACACACACACCAGAACGCCACCTAGAGGCGAACAGATCCCGTTTAGGGAACAGGTGCTACCCCGGGTCGTAACAGTGGTTAACAATGCACTACATTATATTATACTTTATGAAAATGCACTACATTATAAAATTAAATATGCACTAGATTATATATATAAAAAGATCTTCTTTATATTGACACTGAAATATAAAGAAATATATGAATACTTGAGTTTAACTTGAATTTAGAACGCAAAGTGTGCCAATTCACGTTAACACAATTCCACTATTTTTGTGGACATATGACTACATTATTTTACTAGATTTGTATTGTGAATTATTTGTATTGTTGGCACAGAAACTTACAAGCTCGAGGGTTTATTATTATTATTATTATATAATCTGTTTGAATCCTGTTAAAATTTTATGCTGTTCATGTTGTGGCAATTTCTCCCCATGGTATTGGAAATTATATCATGGCACTAGTCTGGATTATTTAATGTTTGTTTGAATAAATCTAATTCTGTAAAAAAATATATGATAATTATTTGCAATCTTTAAATAATATTTCGACAGCAGTTTAGAGAAACATAATAATTATATAATTAGACTATTAATGCATAAAACTCAAATGTGTTTCTGAGTCTAAAAATGATGGAGCAGGTCACACATATCCACCTAGTGCTAAACTAAGTGCATCTGTTTTCACATCTGTCAGCAGTGCACAGACACAAGTTAGCAGAAACAAGCTTGCACTGGGGCACAGTTTATCACAACAACATGCTTCCCGCTCTCTTTCTTCCTCTATCTCGCTCCCTCTTTTTTCTGCTCTATATCTCTCACTCTGAAGCTTAGGCAGCCTGTGGTGGTGTTTGCCATTTGATGTGGCTTCTCTGTTGTGGCGGCGGGGAGGAGAATTCTCCTTCCCTGCAGGAGCATCAGACTCTGTATGTGGAGGAAAGCTCCAGCTGAGATGGAGGCTTTTTGTAAAGAAAGCTGGGAAAGAACACATGCAGGAGGAAAGAGGGGAGCCAGAGAGAGTTCTGTTTCAGAGATGCAAATGTAGACACTGTGTTAAGGTAGCAGAGAGAAAAAAATAGTTTGAAACAACTTTTAAAGGAAGTAGGAGAGGTGTCAAAATGGAAGCCATTCCGTTGAGTAACCCAGAGGTTGGAGACACAATGACATGCAGGACAAGAGTAGATGTGGAGCACAAAAATGGTGTTTTATTTTGTTGTAAATAATGCTCGAAAGACAACACTCTCTGAATATTTGTATTTATTTATTTATTATTCTTTCTTTTTTTTCATTTGGCAAATTGGTGGCAAATTTGTATGAATTTGTAAAATTTCATTCATTTTTGTACGATCTGATTACGCCCCATTTGACAGTTAAGTTTAGGAATGGACCTTAATGTTTTAAATACACTGCCTTAAAATTCTGGCAGTGTATTTTGAAAAAAAGAAATAATAACAGAAATGAAATTTTAATTAAAAAAAGCAAATTAAAGTAAAAATTTAAATTTTAAGAGAACAAATATCATTATTACTGAAATTATGTTAAATTAAGTTGTGTTGTGCATTATATGAATTAAAGTTCTGGAAGCCCAGACCAAATTAAAATACATAGACAAGAAAAACATCACAAGATAAAGTAATGGTTAGAGAGTCGGACTTGTAACCTAAAGGTTGCGGGTTCAAGTCTCAGGTCCGACAGGAATTGTCATGGGAGGAGTGAATGCACAGAGCTCTCTTCCACCCTCAATACCACGACCCTTGAGCAAGGCACCGAACCCCCATCTGCTCCCCGGGACCTGCTGCAATATGGCTGCCCACTGCTCCGGGTGTGTGTTCACGGTTTGTGCATGTATTCACTACTGTGTGTGTGTACTTGGATGGGTTAAATGCAGAACACAAATTCCGAGTATGGGTCACCATACCTGGCCACATGTCACTTCACTGCATTGGATTAAAGTATGTTCTGTCAAGAGGATGTAAGAGTTTTTGTCACCAGGCTGTAACAAACTCTGCTAAAGGAAAGTAACCAAGAAAATGTGCAACATATTTTTAGAAATGGCCATGGTACTCCAAAACAGCAGGAAGCATACAAGTGAAATCCATTATCCAAACATCCAACTTTAATATGCCTCAAAACCCCTTTTTGCCCGTTGAAAAAGAGCACAAGGCTAAGAGCAAACTGATTTAAAATGAAAGCTGCCCTTTCTCTTACCCTCCATTTTCCTGTTTACCCAGACACAACTAAAATAGATTTTATAGCCTCTTTTGGTAGCAGCAGGAGGCAAAAAGGCTTCAGATCAGCTCCTTAAATCATGGTCAAATGACAGTGTAATATTATTGACAAAGCTGAAATGGTGAGAGATTTGCCCGTGAGAACGATTGTTAGGTTCTTGTATCTGTTAATAACAGTTATTCCACTCCATCCATTTTCTTTTGAAAATAAATTATCATTCAGAGCGCACAGATCTTGTATGCTTAGCATTTTACAAGCACAGTCCTATCTCCTTAATGAATTCATTAGATACCGCTGGCCTAGGCGATTCTTCAGAAGAGGCTCTGTGAGACACTCTCTGGTCAGCAGGTCCCTGATGATTCCAGGGGAAGTCCATTCAGAAACAAGCGAGAGACCATTCGCCAATATCTCTAGTCTGTGTGTGTGTGCGACCGCACAGCCGTGCGTAGGCTTATTTGTTTTCTTGTCACTTCTGAAGATAACGTATCACTGTACTGCTCAGATAATTACTCTTCTGTGAGTGTGAGGGGGGATAAAGATGTTTAATCTTCTAAGACTCATTACTCACTGCAATGTTAATGGGAATTACAGAGAAGAAGCGAATGGAGGCAGGGGACTTCAAAGATCAGCCGCTGCATGTCGAGTGTGTGTGTGTGTATGTGAGGCTGGTGAAGATGCACATGATTTTGCATCTTATTCAATATAGCTTAAATTTCTAAGATGCATTTTAACATCCACAGTCATTCTGAACCCCATTTTATGGTCCGTTTGAAGCATAAAGGCCTCTATATACTCACAGCAAAGTTCAGTTTTATTCTTCACTCAGGGTAAAAAGAAGTTTGAAATACGCAAGCAGTGGTATATTCATTTTGTTTGAAATGAAGTCACACCACCAGTTAGTTCTTTGATTTTGCTTGAAGTGTATCAGGGCCTTAATATTTTAGCATACAGTCTGTATGGGGGTAGAATTGTTGCTTAATTACAAATAAATAGATTATGATCCACAAATAAATAGAATGAGATCCACAAATAAATCTTAAAGTTTCACAAACATGAATTAAATTCACAAATAAATAAAATGAGATTTGCAAATAAAACACATATTCACAAATATATATTTATGTCACAACCACAACTTTGCCTGGCATTTATTTGTGAATCGCATCCTGTGCATTTGTAGATAGCTGCACGCATTTGTGAATCGCGTCCTGTGCATTTGCGAATTGTGAAACATTTCTTGCATCAAGACGTGCTGACAATCCACAAATACGTGGACTCCACCCACCGTCTACTCAAGCCAATCAGATAAAAGCCACATTCGCTGACCAATCGTAGAACGATCTCGCTATAGCCAATCACGTTTTGCTTTACAATCAGGGCGGTCTCGTCCTGAGATAACTTCATTCATCTGCATTGGCTCACATAGGTCATATAAGGGCCATACAATGGGTACAGTAAAAGATGTTTAAAACTGGATTTCGTTAGACCATTAGACTGTGTATCATGCCAAGCCACAGTATTTTATGTTACGTGCCTTTGAAAATGCCAGAGAAAGCTTTAAATCACGGCTATATGGGAACAACGCTATACTGTATTCAAACGTGATATGGAAGCTTCATTTATTCAATATGGAAATAAAAGTGTCAATAAGTAACTGACTAATAAATAACTGAACTCAACCTCATAATAAACATTTGTTTGTGTAATAGGTTAAATTGCTGTCACACAACAGCCAACAGCATTTCCCAGTTTTTCAGTCAAGTCGATGTATATGAGCTGCTCTGTGGATCTAACGATGTATGAAGTTTTTGATATTCTGTGGTGGGCGCAGCAGTAATAGAAATTAATCTACCAATAAGCTTAAATATATACAGTGGGGCAAAAAAGTATTTAGTCAGCCACCAATTGTGCAAGACAAATGCCTTTCACAGCAGCTGCCTGTCAATCAAGAGTACTCAGTAGTACTACTGTTACTGCAAAACTTTGTAATGAATGTCTGTTTTTTTTTTTTTTTTGGCTGTAAATAACATTCTCTGACCTGTAGATAACTTTTTTTATTTGTTCATCAATAGACACCATGTGGTAGGTTTTTGATAGGCTGGATGTGAGAAACTCACACATGTGAAGAATGTTTGAATGAAATTCATGGAAACTGGCTCCTTTCATTGTCTCACTCTCCAGCTGGGGATGAATGGATTTATTTTGGCAGAGGATAGATGGGTCTCTGCTTGCATATATTCCAGTGACCAGCCTTCAGCATGGAGCACAGCCAAATCACCTCAAGACACAAATGCCTTTCACAGCAGCTGCCTGTCAATCAAGAGTACTCAGTAGTACTACTGTTACTGCAAAACTTTGTAATGAATGTCTTGTTTTTTTTTTTTTTTGGCTGTAAATAACATTCTCTGACCTGTAGATAACTTTTTTTATTTGTTCATCAATAGACACCATGTGGTAGGTTTTTGATAGACTGGATGTGAGAAACTCACACATGTGAAGAATGTTTGAATGAAATTCATGGAAACTGGCTCCTTTCATTGTCTCACTCTCCAGCGGAGAGTGAGACAAGAGGATAGATGGGTCTCTGCTTGCATATATTCCAGTGACCAGCCTTCAGTAGACCCACAGAGTAAGCAGTGACAGCTGTTTACAGCCCCCATCTGTTCGCTCCCTCTCTGTGTGTCTCTCACTACACGGGAAAACCATATTTAGCATTCTATAAACTCATTGTACTATGACACGCTCCACCGTCTGTGTGAGAGTTCAGCTCAGAGTAGCAAAATACCAGTTGCTTCTGCCATTAGAGAGCAGTGTCTCTTCTTAACCTGTTGGCTGACCAGGTTAGCCTGCAAGGATCCCTGAGTTCCTGTGTGTTAATGAATGTGAGGTCCAGCTGGTTAACCAGTCAATCAAGCCTCTTAGTGTCAGCAGCCTCAGCCGTTCTCCAGACACTTTAAGGGCTCACATTAATTCCTGTTGTCATGTGGCATATTGGGTTTGTTTTACACGATTGCTCTTTTCTTCCTCCTTCACCCCTTCCCATTCATAACAATTACATCCCTGGTGTGTCACTGGTATTACAAGCCTTAACAGATTGATGGTTGCTGCATTGAAGTGCAATAAAGCATCTGAACAACAATGCCAAAACATTATACCACTGGAAATTCAACATACACCAGGGAATATAACGGAGAAGTTAATGTGTGGCTCTCAGCAGAGCAGTCTGCTTACATAATTCATTTAGACACCAGGGGTTGTCCGAAATCTTGTGTGAAAGGCCTATAAACCTTAAAAACTGTGGTAACGCTTTATAATAACTTTCATTTATAGAAATATGCTAGAAATATGAGATAATGTGCTTGTTAATGTTTACTAATGAACTTACTAAACATTACCTAATGATTAACATATGATTATTTAATGTAAATTGAAATGCTTACAAATGTCAGTAAACTTTCAGTTCATATGATCTTCATTTGTTGGTCTTTGTTTGTTGTGCAGACCTCTATTTGAATTGAATTTACCCTATTCACACATCTTTACTAATAATCATTTATTAGTAAGTTGTTCATGCAGTAGCCATTCTAAAGTTGAAACTATTCATCATTTGTAAATGTTTATAAATGATTACTAATCATTTAGTATCGTTATGGGCATTGGACTTTTAGCTAATGGAACAAGGTTTGTGTAAAGGGTGGCTGGTTAATTTAGCTAAATGCTTGCTAAAGACAACAGATTGTAATTTTGGTGCAAATTTTTTTTTTTGATTACCTCAACACTCAGATTAGTTTACTACTTTTCAGTATATCATTAAACAGGATATTCCTTGAATCATAAATAAACAGGAGTAAACAAATCATTTCTTTTTAAATAAAATACTAGTTCATTTATTAAAACAATATAATATAAACCAATTTAACCGTGTTCCCTGTAAATGTTTATAAATGATTACTAATCATTTAGTATCGTTATGGGCATTGGACTTTTAGCTAATGGAACAAGGTTTGTGTAAAGGGTGGCTGGTTAATTTAGCTAAATGCTTGCTAAAGACAACAGATTGTAATTTTGGTGCAAATTTTTTTTTTTGATTACCTCAACACTCAGATTAGTTTACTACTTTTCAGTATATCATTAAACAGGATTTTCCTTGAATCATAAATAAACAGGAGTAAACAAATCATTTTTTAAAAATAAAATACTTGTTCATTTATTAAAACAATATAATATAAACCAATTTAACCGTGTTCCCTTATAAATTGACCCGTGTACACTGTTGACCCCTTAAACCTACCCATACCACCAAACCTGTCGCTAACCTTACCCGTATCACACCTCAATAGCAGCAAAAGAGTTGTGCATTAACACAAGCTTTTAATCATTTTATAACATCTGTTAAAATCATTTGTAGATTTTCAATAAGTGCTTGATCATATAGAATTTTAAGTTTAATGACATTTATAAGCATTTTAACTTGCATGAAATAATGATGTTTGAACATTTTCTAATGTTTAGTAAGTTTATTAGCAAACATTAACAAGTACATTATCTCACGTTACCTCAATAGCAGCAAAAGAGTTGTGCATTAACACAAGCTTTTAATCATTTTATAACATCTGTTAAAATCATTTGTAGATTTTCAATAAGTGCTTGATCATATAGAATTTAAAGTTTAATGACATTTATAAGCATTTTAACTTGCATGAAATAATGATGTTTGAACATTTTCTAATGTTTAGTAAGTTTATTAGCAAACATTAACAAGCACATTATCTCACGATTCTTTGAATATAAATAAATAGTTAATATATATATATATATTAACTAATGATCCATTAAGCATCATATAATATTTGTTAATGATTTATTAATGAAAGTTATTATAAAGTGTTACCAAAACTTTTGTTTTTGTCAAGCTAGCATTCAAAGGATAAAAAGGACAAATTTTTTGTTTAAAATGACATGAAGTTCTTTGAATTGTAAATTATTTTATTTCTGCTTGCACTACTGTTCCAAATTTTAGGTTCAGTAAGATTTTTAATGTTTTTAAAAAAGGTCCCTTATGCCCACCAAGGCTGCATTTATTTGATCGTAACACAGCAAAAACAGTATTATTGTGAAATATTGTTACAATAATAAAATAACGGTTTTCTATTTTAATATATTTTAAAATGCAAAGTATTCCTGTGATGGCCATTACTCCAGTCTTCAATGCCACTTGATCATTCGGAAATCATTCTAATATGCTGATTTGGTGCTCACTGAACCCAAACAGTAATGTACATTCAGATGCCGTTTTGAATGCAATTGCAAATCTCATTTCTGTTTGCTACCTCAATTCAAATTAAAGGCACAATATGTAATTTTTCACCATTAGAGGGCGCGTATTCAAAATAAACAGAGACAAAGGCGTAGTTTGATGACGCTGAGTGTGGAATCATGGAAGTTGTCGTCATCCCCACAGCCGATGCAATCCGACGGGACTCGAGCAGAAATCATGTTCATTGATGAGCTAATGATTTATTAACGTAGTAGAATGAAGCAGGGTGAGGCTGAAAGCCGTCGAAGCGAAACGAGGCCGCTGAACGAACGTGACACACAGCTCGAAAGCAGCGGAGCTTTTATTATGCCACAGTCGACCGCTTCCGCTCCTTCCGGTCGTGCGTATGTGGGGGAAAGCAGTGCTGTTTTATCATACTAGATACATTTAAAAGTTCTGTTATAATGCTACTCTGTGCTGTCGTCACCGGTCTATTAAAACGCACAACATATTAAAGCGTCTTTGGTGTTTCCATGTTTTCTACAAAAGTTTTTCTTCCATGTTTTTCTCGGAAATCGAGGGGTTATGACGTCATTAGCAGGCGACACAATGACACTATAGACACGGTCCGTGTCACTAGTTAAAATAGCTTATTTCTCTGGATTTAAACATTCTTCAAAACATTTGGGATAAGTACACAAGTCATGTAAGTACAGAAGTCAGCAAAATATATAACACTGTTCTAGTGGTTTTTGGATATCTTGCATATTGTGCCTTTAAAGAACTGAACTGGAATGTAAATGCATTTTCAATTCAATTCTGAATGATGCAAAATTCTGAAAAGACAAAACAAAACAAAAAAACAAGTGGGCTGCATCCGAAATCACATGCTTCTCTACTATACAGTAGGTGAAAACAGTAATTGAACAGAGTAGTATGTCTGAATTCACAGTATTCATAAAACAGTGGACAAAAAGTCACCGGATGACCTACTATTTCCTGGTGAGATTCTGAAGTGTGCATACTTTGGACATTTTACTATCCGCTTTACTATCTCACGATGCCACATACTATATAGAATGTGCTAATGGTCACCAAGTAAAAAAAAATAAAATGTACCTATGCGGAGAGTATGCCATTTTGGCAGTCTCATAATCTAGAATCCATCGGTAGAACACATTTTGTAAGGTGGGCAGGCCAGGAATACTTCTTGGTCACCACAGATGACATTTCTTCATTATTATGTTTCTCTCAGAGAATTGTGTGTGTGGAACAGGATGTTTGCGACATGGACAGGCCTTACTAATGGGACAAAAGTGGCTGAAGCAGCTTCCTATTTCTTTTGTCCTCTGTATGTCCTCTTTTTGTCCTTTTGTTCTCATTGTCATTGATTCAGAGGTTGTTCCAATGTATCCTTGAGAAAACATAGATCCTGGTAGAAGATGACCAAGGCTCAAGCATTCACCACATATAATACATAAAGGTCATCCTTGCTCTATTTAGTTTCTTTTGTTCTTATTGACTGTATAGTAGATAGTTCTTCTACATACTCCCATCTTTTAATTGTTAAGGTTTTACATTGTTGAGCTATTTGAGTACAAAAAAAGTTTGTAGACATATTTGTGTTAACTGTTAATGAAGTATAGACCGCAGTGACCTGTCTTTTATAATGCTTTCTGGCATGTACCTTGATACTGCAGCTGAACCTCATCATCACGGTACGAAATGAGTGCCAAAAGACATGCCCACATCACTGATGCTATCATAAAAATCCATCCTAGCAATACAGACACATGAAGAAACTCTCTCCCCTCCATTAAAATGGATAAGTCAGCGGTCCACCTGGCCTCATTGCTGGAGAGATAACATTTTAGAGAGTCTGAAAGAGAAGATGGAATATGCTACAGCTACAGAGCATAGCGCGCTTTCTAATGCGACGCTTTCATTGTGCCGCTGTCACCTGTCAGTGGGAGTCGAGCTGAAGGGATGGATGTAAACACGGGCATCTTACACTGTGTTATGGAGAGTTGTCATAGCCATGTGGTGAGCCAGCACAGATCCAACTCCCAGTGTGCTTTAGCGTGTCAAATTGACAAAGAATTTAAGATGAATTTTCTTTTCTCTGTGAACAAGCTCTGTCATTCAGCTTTCAATGGGAACGTGGGACGTGAAAAAGCTGCCACCTATCCAGCATTATTTTATGCTTATTTGGTAAACATTATGGGTAGAATGTTCTGTACATAATATGAATCAATTCTATCAAAGGCGGCGTGACGTATAGGACAAACAGCAGTTGGAGAACAACTTCAGCTAAAATAGATATTGACAGCTTGTCTCTCCTGTCATTGTGACATTGTGAACACAAACCAGTGTTCAGTTTGGGGGGATTGAATTGTCCTCATCTGTTCTTAGACAACCTAGTGAAGCTTTGAGAAGAGGATCAGATTTGAACACGTTTTAAAAATAGAAGCATTTTCTTTTTGTCATCTGCTGCTCTGTCCCTTGCTGTCAACACACTTGTCAAATTGGTATTGATACAACTATTACAGCAGATAAAAAGCCCATTGCACTGACTCATATTTGACCTTTTTGTATTTTTCTACTCCACAGTTGTGTACTAGTTTCTTCTGAAGACAAGAAAAATCAACTCAAATATTTTTCTCCCATAATACCTCTGCAAGCCTCTTGCTGATACCCCTTTTAATAATGCAGCACAGGCTTTCATCACTGTCTGATACCTTTTGCCCACAATCCTTGAAAACAAAAGAAACACATGGCACGATACGGTTTGATTCTGCAGTGGTGCATTGAAAAGAGAACTAGAGCAAAACACAACAGAAAAGTAAATAAAAGAGTCCCTCAGCGCAGTGCATTGGAGAATGCCCTACTACTATACTAAACGTTTAGAGGCTCTTTTTCTTTTATGAAGTTCCTCATCAAACCATTGCATCTACCTTTAAGATTCAAGCTGAAGTGTATCGTGTTTGGTTACTTCACATTCAACCAGGTGTCCTTTTCATTTTGAACATGCATCACATGTCTTTCTTGCAGAGTTTGAAATGGGTGTTGGAACATATTTGTCTGTTATTTTGCCTGTAGATGCTTTAAGATGATACAGGTTACAGCTAAAATTTAAATTATTTAAAATCAATACAATGTATTTATTTTTTTGGTCAGTCTCGTGTCATAAGTGGGATAGTGTATAGTCATCCATTCCACATCGGATTCTACACTCTAAAAAATGCTGGGTTGTTTCAACCCAGCTTTGGGTCAAATATGGACTAACCCAACCGTTGGGTTAAATTTTGGCATTCAATTTTTAACCCAAAAGTTGGGTTAGTCCAAATTTGACCCAAAGTTGGGTTGAAATAACCCAGCATTTTTTAGTGTGTAATCACATATCGTGGTTGACTGGCTGGCTGTGTAATATCCCTTATTTAATAAAAATACATAATAATAATAATAATTTCAGAGGAACTGCTCCATAAAGGGTTTTAAAAAAGCCCCAGGGATATGTAGTGGATCTATAGATGGCAGGCCTCCCATCTTCCTCAACAAGTTTCTCTGTTTTCACTGGAACACATTTTAATGAGGCATGATTATTAATCAAATTTAAAAAAAAATTCATGTAAAGTAAGCAGTTAAAAAGATGAGATTAGACACATTTGAACAGCAGTGGAACCTTGGGGCTCCATTCCTGCAGCAGGGGGTACCAGCAGCCTTGTTCTTTTAACAAGTGTTAATCTGTCTCTGTAGAGGTGTTAAAAAACCTCAGCACTTAAATTAGTGCTCTTCCTGCATCCCACAACATACGCTATGTGATCTGTGTGAATAGTAATAACAAAGTCTTTTAAATACGCATAGGTGAGAACAGGGCTTGTAATAATGTCTCTGTCATGCGATAGGCAAAGTGAATTAGCAATATTAGACGTTTTTCTACCATTTTTCATGGGTGCGTTTGTGTGTTGAAATTGCTTTAATTGCACTGTTAGGTGGGTCAGACACAATGATGTGCAGGTCATGTTTGGCAATATTGCTCTTGTAAAAACCATTATGCCAGGGTGGGGTGGCATGTGGGATGTGAAGTGAATATCTGCTGCTGCTCGTATGCCTGTTGAACCCTTAATAGCAGGGAATGTTGTTTTATGAAACCATTACTCCATCTGACTGGTCACTGCTGCCTTTGTCTTTTAACTATTGAGATATACATATTATTAGCCCATATTTATTAAACACGAATTTAGTAATCATGCTACCTTGGTAGTCTTTCACTGGCGGATTATACTGAATATAACTCTGTGTAAAGCCAAGTTATGTATTTCCATGAGCTAAACAGTTACACAACAGAACAAGCATGCATACATTAAAATCATGCAAATCAGTACTCATTTTACTTCATGTGGTTGGAGTTGTGTGTCTGATGCATACTGTTCATTACAGTGGATCATCAAAAGCCATTTTTTACCTGTCAGGGTGTGATGTTACAGCCAAACCATCATGGATGATTACTTGAAACTCATTCACTCTATATGAGTGTCTATATGATTGTATATGCCATTGTTTTTGTTTTTATTTTTGACAAAATTATAAGCATTATTTTCCTTATCTAAACATCCACCACAATGATTATTGTTAAATAGTTAAGCATAATAAGAATCAATAGTATGATTAAAAATAATTATTGATAATTGATTTTGACTTCAGTGACTCAAATCTTTTGGTTTCATGAGCTGATGTTCACTGATACTTTCTCGGTTAGATTGTTAGGTTACACTTTATTTTAAGGTGTCCTTGTTACAGTGTAATTATACATTAAAGTACTGAGTGATATTAATTAATTACATGTACTTTCTATATGGTTAGGATTAGGATTAGGGTTTGACGCTGAGACACTCAAATTCAACGAGTCACTGAGTTATTAGGAGTTTTTAAGCATTATAAACATTTACCTCAACAAATTACATTTTACCCTTCATTTTGTCATAAATTCAACATGGATGACAAAAGATCCTTTGAAATATTCATTAGCCTATCTTCTGTTGCAGTGTTTAACACCTTTAAAAAATCATTTTGGAAATAAAATATTGCGAATGATTATATTATTTTTTTAAGAGTTTCAGACTCTTCATATATTATAGTTGTAAGGAAAGCAGGCTGTGAGAAAGGAGGACCGCCTGTACTGATTGCATTTACCTTGAGACTTCTTGCCTTTGCCTCTAGTGTCATTTTTATGCACACATTATCTCAGATAAGTGCACTTGTTCTCTGTGCTTACATATTTGTCTCTTTGATTGCCTCACTGTCATTGTGGCAGATGAATTGGAGGCACGGTGAGGCGACAATGTCATTGGGACCACCGCTTTCAAGCCATCCATTTTGCATTTGAAATGAATGTTGGGAGAAGACAAATTGTTTAAAGATTAAACCTTAGAGAATAAAAGGATTAATGTAATAAAGGAAACCTGCTGCCTTCAGATGGGATAGCGAAAAAGGAAGGAAAGGAGAATGAAAGACAAGCAAAAAAAAATGTTTCTATCAGACAGACAGTGATGAGCAGTAAGTGTGGCTGATCTGATTGCAGTGAAGAGGTAAGGTGATAAAGTGCCTCTCATTTCTATATTTGGGTTAAAGATTAAATGGTAAGGAAATGAAACCTTTTTGAATAGCTTCCTCCACTTATGCTTGGCAAACTGTCTCCTTCACCCCTCCTTCTGTGGATTAATGTGTGTATGCATATCTGTCAGAGAGATCGAGAGGAGAGCAATTTGGTGTGTATTTACGTATCTGGGCGTGTTTAACTGTCTTTTTCAGCGTGTATTTGTAGAGGCCAAAAGCTGTTGAGCGTGAGTGTTTGTATGAAAGTGCAGTCAGATTTCATTAGCAAAGACTCGTTGTGGGGAAGCGTGCGCTATAGAATCAGCAGTAAAAGCCGCAGCGGCTACTCGCAGATGCTCTCTCTCCCCTGGTTTGTGTCTGGGGGCAGGACCTGCATACTAATGGACCCGTTTCAGGCTTGATCAATGAGCACAGATCAGACACTGGCTACCAATCTCTCTTAGTGCAGAAAGAATAGAAATACCTCTCTAAATACCTCCAAATACCTTTAAATGTAGCTGCAGTGATGCTACTGATCTAGCAGAAAGGGACATTTAAAAATCTTATATCACACATAAAACCATGTGGGAGTTTTACATTATGAATTAGTTCATGTTCAGTTCAGTCTGTCTTCTCGATCTGTGTCTGAACTATTTGCACTGCTGTATTGCAAGAAATATACTGATTATACTCAACTACTATTAGTTCAGTTTCAAGTCGAGTCAATTTTATTTGAATAATGCTTTTTACAATACACATTGTTTCAAAGATCTTTACAGATCTTCGTGCCTTATAGTCATATTTAACAAATTGTGAAATCACGTGCTGTGTGATAATATTGTTTACATTTTGCAATTATGTAAACAGTCAAGCAGTTGAGATTTTCTGCATAGTATATATCACTTTATGGGAGTAGAATGTATGTATGTGAGTATATCCAAACCATAATATAGTTTATTATATTATTATGTCATATTTCTCACAACTAAGCATTTTAAATGAACAGTTAATTAAAGTTATGGAATAATACACATAACAAGTACACAGAGTCATTCAAAACTGAAAC